ACGAGAGGGCATGGTTTGCCAGGGAAATGTTTTTTCGAAGGTGGAAGATGTGTCAATCCAAGTCAGCATGAGTCAAATGTCAGAGGCAATCGATTCAAGAATTGACAGTTTTTGGAGATCTCAATCAATCAGTTTTGTTAAAAGGGATTCGGTTGAATTCTCGCAAAGATCTTTCATGAAGTACAAGGGCAAGTATCCTGCAGGCATCATGGACGAGAAGCTACGAAACATCGTCACCGGGATACAGAATACCATGACCTCGAGCGTCATGTTTTCTTCCAACCCTGTGAGCAATGCGTTGCAGAAGCTTACAACGCAGGTCGTGCTTCTTGCCGTCGCAGCGTTCCTGACGTACATGTACTCCCAATCTTCTGATCTCAGCGGATTCCTGCAAAACAAAGCTACTTCCGTCTATGTCGCAAGATTGCACATACAAGAATACCGCGATCAAGCTCCTCGCGCCTCCGTTCCCAGCGCCTCCGTCTCCAACTTCTCTCTCATGCTTGACAGCTGCAACCAGCGATCTCCGGCGTCCACCAAGACGGTGAACAACACGCTCTACTTCTTCTTCGCTCCGCCGGCGGAGGCCAACGGCTGGCACTTCAGCCTCAACCCTGACAAGCAGCTGGCGGGCTACGACCCGATCGCCTTCAACCTCTCGATACTGGAGCAGCCGGTGGGGAGCGGGGAGGAAGTAGGGAGTGTGTCGGGGAAGGCGTGGAAGGACTGGACGAGCTTCTCGTGCAGAGAGAGGCCGGGGATGGGAGTGTGCAAGGAGGGCGAGGCTTACAGGGGGGCTCGGATGAGTTTCAGCGTTCAGTTTCTACTACCGAAGATAATTGCAGCGATCTTCTCCTTTGTTCAGCCTCTTGTATGCGTCTTGGCGGTAGTGACGGCAAGGCTAGGGTATCGACGGGTACCGAAGACGATGTTCGCGTCCATGTTTCACGTCATAGGTGTTTTTGAAATAAGCCATGCCTTTCTAGATACAGATGTTCTTGCTCCTTATCTTTTTTGGGGCATTGGGGACTTTTCTTTCGGGATGGTGATCGAGTTTCGAGAGCAGTACATGATGACAGTCTTGCCCTTCTACTGCATCTTCACATCGTGCGGTGGTGTGGCACTTTACACCCAATGGTTTAGGTCACCTCCAACCGTCGACACCTTTGGGTACAGTAACTACTTGCTACTTGCCTATTGGCTTTATTTGACCATCGGAAGACAATTTCTGCTTCACAGGGCCTTCAACAACGTCAAGTCGGAGCTTCTCAAGTACAACGACCTCTGGCAGTCTCTCTCTTCCTCCCAAACCAGCCGCCTGACCCTGGAGCGCATCGGCCAGCTGGTCTCGCAGGTCCAAGTCCCGACCACGCTGGTTCAGAGCCGCGTGCATGACCCCGACAGCCCGCTAGAGTCGTCGTCGAGCCCGCTGGAGTGGATGCTGAGGAGGAGCCAGGGCGGGTCCTCCTCGCTGCGTGTGCCGAGCAAGAGCGTGTGGCCGCTGAGCAAGGACCCGCGGGTGGTGTCGCTAGACCAGCTGTACGCGCAGGCGGTGTTTGCCGACCCGATCTTCCGGAAGAAGGTACAGGAGCTGGCGGAGGAGTCGAGGGGCTTGTTCCCGGCTCTGCCCCATGGATTTAACGGGTCGGTGGAGTGTATCGGGTGGAGGGAGGCGAAGGAGGACGAGGAGCTTCAGCAGCGGATCCGATGGGCGCCGATGAAGAGCGTGGACCGGGCGGTGGAGAAGCTCGTGCGATCCTACAACAACGACGTGTCGAGGCTGCTGGACGTGGTGCGGCAGTGCATCGTCTTCGAGCAGCTCGAGGACCTGTGCGAGTGTCTGGAGCGGATCCTGGGAGACCCCGAGATCGTGGTGATGAGGATCAAGAACAGGCTGGACCCGAGCTTCGACGCGCGGACGACGGGGGGGTACAGGGACGTACTTTTGAACCTACGGGTGGTGACGGAGAGGACGAGGGAGCTGGGGGTAGCGGGGCACGTGTGCGAGCTGCAGCTTCTGGTGAAGGGGTTTATGGATCTGAGGACGACGGAGGGGCACAAGAGGTATGTAGCGTATAGGAACCTGAGATGTGAGTAAGTTAGGTGCTATTTTTTATTTGCAAATGAATGCACGATTGGTTTGTTCCACTTTTTTCAGTAATTGGTACTTTTTCTCGTATGATGTTTGATTTTGTTCCAACTTTCGCAAACGCTAGCCATTTTTTAATGCAGTATGCTCATCTTTCAATCTCATTGCCTAGATCTAAATGGTTCATCAAAAGCAGCCGATTATATCAACATCATAGTCACATTTCACAAAATGAGACACGAGATCGATTTTTCACGTGATGTCCGACGGGCTTCGACATTTTCGAAGACGTTAGAGCAGGTTTTCTGTCTGCTCGTCATTAATCAACATCTATGACTTGAGCATGGGAGACTTAAGGTAAATCACAGATCATGTCGTGTAAGTCGTCATGAGAGTGCCGTCAGAAGGTCTGCAGTGAAACTGAATGATTGATTGTTACATACAAGGATGAACACAAGATTGTTTGTTTTTTTATTGAGAAATACCAGGCTGTCATCTGTGAAAAAACGAATCATAGTCTCTATGAATTGGATGAGAAACACACGTTTCTTTTCTGTAAATCAGTGATATTGTTCTCGGGGCATCTGATTACTCTCGATTTACTCGACAATTTTCAATTCTCCTCCTCCTCCTCCTCCTCCTCCTGGTCCTGAAGTCGTCTTGATGAGACAAGAATCTATTCTGCGACTAATGAATGACGAAAGATGACGAAAGAACTACTCGCAATGACGCATTGATATAGTAAACCGTCAGACAGGTCGGTGCGGTTGCATTTTTGAATTCAATCCATGTGTTGTGGACCAATGTTAAAAGTGATTTAAATTGTAATTTACATAGTGATTCCAGTAGTACCACAACCATTTATTAGTATTTAAAACTAGTTCCCTGAAACGGGCCTACATGGACCACCGGTGCAATACATTAGCATACCGGTCATAAACACGATTAAACCAGGGGTGAAAAACTTTAATTGGGGTACCTCAGCAACCCTTCAACAAGGGGGTTAGTAGCCACCCAAAAATCGATTTTTTGCACCATGGCGGAGCAGAGGACGGCGCTGCTCGTCCAGTGACACTCTCAGAGACGGGCTGCCAGCTCGCGTCAGAACCTGAGTGTACCCAGGCAGCACCGAGAACCAAAATGGCGCGACCTCCTTTCCCTAGATCATGTTACCTCCTTCCTCTAGCTGATCCCTCCTGATCCCTTGCAACCCAGCGCCCTAGGAATGCAAGAGATGGAAACTATCTTCTCCCCTGAGGACGTCCTGCGACCGCATGCCTACGTCGAAGTGACTTCCTCGACGCGAGAGGAACCTCGCGAGCATCCAATGCCAATAGACATAACGCAAGAAGCAGAAAATCAGCCGAACAGTCGAAGAGAATCAAGCATCATCGAGGTCAACCACGCGTCTTTCCTAGATGCGTTTGTGCGCAACTACACCCAGCAGCCCGGTAACTTCATGGACCTTGCCTTGAAGGACAGGCACGTCTACCGTCACGATCCTCTCCTGTCTGTCTTCTCATGGGAGCCCATCACCGCCTTCATGTCCTCGAGAGCCGGTCAGCTCATCGCTCTGCTCGTGGCCGTGCCTTGGCTGGTGGTGAGGATATACGAGGTCGCAGCTCTCCGGCAGCAAGACTTCTTCTTCCCATCAATCAGCTCGATGCATGTCATCCTAGAGCCGCACGCCATACCCAGCAACGTGTCGTGCGGCTGGGATGCGCGTCTGGAGCTGCGGAGCTGGTTCTTCCCTCCGCTTGCTCTGCTGATGGCGGGGATCGGAGCAGCCTTTAACAGAGTGCGGTGGGTGAACAAGGTGAGTCAGGCGGGAGGTCGGGGTGGAGCAAGGAGCTGACATGAGGCTTGGGGGGGCTGCAGATCTTTGTTTTCTTCGGAGCGCTCGACGCGGCCTGCAACATGCTGATATTCCTTCGGCTGGAGGTACGGGGCGATTACCACAAGACGATGCTTGGGACACCTTCGTTTCTGTTTCTGCTCGTCGCGGTGGGCCAGTGCCGTTTCAGGAGTCCAGGACCAACGTCC